GTTAACTACATGGTTAATTTTAGAAAGCGTTGATGCGCTGTAGTTGTCGAGAAGGCTAATAGCTCTTGCGTGAATATGGGTCATCTACTTAATTTATTAATTTTATTGATTTTCAACATACACAGTCCCTATGCAGGTTTCAAAAAACAAACCATCGTTGAACCTGTTTATTTTAACTATCAAATGAATTAACAAATGTACTAGTTGACCCATCTTGCCCCACTTTACCCTATACAATGGAAAAAAAAAAAAAACTTCAAAGAAAACTCTAGCATGCACTGTTTTGGAAGTCATTGAATCTTTGACTTTTCTTGACGCATACCAGGATCGTTCCGAAGATAATCGTACGAGCTGACTATGCTGAGATTAATGCTGCTAAAGCATGGCCCACTTAGTAATGGAACAACATCATTTGAGTCTATTTCGTATTTGAATCAACGGATTTGAAAACGGGTTTCACTCAAGTACATACTATTCCTTATGTTTTAAGAAAAAAAAAATCGAGACCGATCCCTCCGCTTTCCTCTGTTGACCAGAACTCGGACCCATCCCTACTCATAAGTTCATAACCCCAGTTGAAAAGGCCAATGCTCTTGACCAACATTTTGTGATTTCACATAATCTTGGCCAAACCATGGTGAGCCTGCCGTACTGGAGGCAATGTCTAGAGTCGCTGACACCCCCGTAGTAGTGCATGATGATAGTAGAATATCGGCTGATGAGGTGATAGCAGCTGTTAGAAGCAATAAAAACATGAAGGCTGCGGGTATGGACGGTGTCTACCAGTGCCAAAAGCTATCGCCCCATCAGCCTCTTGTCCTCCATCTCGAAGCTATTCGAAAAGTTGATATTTGGTGATAGTTGGTGTTTTTAAATGGTTGGAGGCGAACCAGCCTAAGGCTGAAAGCCTCCTAAATAAAGCTAAATTAATTAATTGTTTTTAAATGATAAAAACCCGAATTTATCCACCTATGGTGTGATCAGACCCTTCTTACTAATTCAAGTTTATTTATTTTATTGTCATTATCAGTGACCAAGCCCCCCACCCCCGTGTCATCCAGTGACGCTACGCCACTGCCTGGGGGTACCCGGAATATATCCGGGTGTAGTCTATTTGGTGAGGCTACCAATCACCTTATCATCGTATTTTAATGTGATTTAATGGGTTTTAATTCAATTCATATTCAAGCGACTTCCCCGGGGTACCCGGAACATGTCCAAGTGTGTCCAATGTGGTCTGGAACACTTAACACGACTTGCATTGATCTTATTTTTGAATTTTGTAGTAATTTGATAGTTTTGATACGTTTTCCGTTAAATCCAACGTGAAGGCCCATATTCACCGGATCTTATTCCGGCCATATCTCCGGAACCGGTTCACCGATTCCAAAACCGTTCAATAGCGACCCTAAGACCTATCATTTGGTGCCGAGTTTGTCCAAATCGGTTGAGCGGTTGCTGAGAAACGTGAGCGCATTCATTTCGTTACATACACACACACACATACACACATACACACGTACACACACACACACACACACACAGACATGTTTCGATCTCGTCGAGCTGAGTCGAATGGTATATGACACTCGGCCCTCCGGGCCTCGGATCGATAGTCGATTTTTCAAGTGATATCTATACACTTCTTTGTAAGAAGGGTAAAAAAACAAAATTTACTGAATGGATAAAAAATGTGATTTAAGAAGATTCCCAAGATTCTGGAGCTTTGAAATTTGTGTAGAGTCTGAAACTAGAACTTTTCTTTAAAATTTGTGATTAATAACATGCTTTGTGATGCAAGATTTGGAGAAATAATAATTAAAATGTGAAATTTTGAATTTTTTCAAGATAACAGATTTGAAAAAAAACATCATTCTTATGAGTCGTCATAATTGTCACGCTCTGAGACCTGGAAGCATTTTAAGGGTTATAACAAATTGTAGAATCTAGCGGACACACCCTGGAATTTTTGGTAAAATTTAAAATAATTCAAAGTGTTGATAACAAGTATTGAGAAGGATTCCCACACAGTTTTCGAAGGAGAAGAGCAGATTTCCAGAATTATTCTATCATGAAATCCTTAGAAATTGTTAGATGAATTTGGAAGGATTTCTTTGGAGAAGAATGCAAGTTATAAATTAAACTGGTAGGTAATTTTAGTAGATTTAAAAACGAGTTGTGAAAAACAAAACTTTGCAGAAAATTCCTACGTGATTCTGATGAGATTTGTATGGGGATCGTGAGGAAAATGACAGATGAATTTTAAGAATTCCAAGAGAATTATGATCAGAATTCAACAAGAAACAAAGTTCTTGGAAATTTCTGGCAATAATTTCAACCCAAGTGCGAAAGATTCATCACATAACTCAAACAAAATTGATTGTCAAAAAAATTGCTGGTAATTAGAAAGAAATGGTTTAAAATACTCCAAGCGGTTTCTAAGTAAATTTTCGAAAGATTTCTGGTGTTTTGAATAGAGTTCAAAGAAATGTTTGAAATTTTTTTCAAAGAAATCAAAGTCTCCGGATAGGCTTAAGGGAATTATATGAAGGATTCCAAATAAATTCTTAGAACGGGTTGGAAGGAAATTCCTAAAAGAATTCAACGGTAATTATTACGCGGAGTATTTTCTGGTTTATTTCAGAACAATTTCAAGATAATTCAGAGCAGAATTCCAAGTTAATTCTGGAATATATATCATGAGAATTTTGAACAACGAAAAATTAAAACACCGGAAAAGAATAATTCAGTTTCGGTTTTTACAAATATTTGTTTCCAAACTCCAGCATCTTCAATATTTTCTTTTAAGGGCCATGCACTTTACATCTGAAATTGAAACGACAAAAATCAATTTGCAATATTGCTGAATGATTAAATTCTAAAAACAATAAGACGGTAAACTGAAGAAAATTATGCAGCAAATAGCGTAACACTATCATTTGCTAAAGGGTATATGGTTTATTCTGAAATTCTGATGTAAAAATTTGATCATATGATATGGTTAATTTATTTTTCCCGGTTCTCTGGCAGAATTCCCGGGTTTTTCCCGGTTTTCCCGGTTACTTTTCAAATTCCCGGATATTTCCCGGTATTCCCGGTTTCCCCGGTTTGCTGGCCACCCTGCCAAATGAACAACAAAATTGATGACAGCAAAATAATCCGGGACGGAAAGGTTACAATGAATTCCACAATTTTTGTGACAGCACATCAGTCCCTTCGCGATTTTCGCGACATTATTCTATGTTTCCGCGATTTTGGCGACTGAAAGTTCAAATCCACGACAAATCCGCAAAAATCACGAAATCTGCGCCTCTTATAACAGCCCTGTATTTTCCGTGAGTGCTAGAATTCGAAAATTATTATCAAAACATATAGGGGCCGCGCAATAAAAAAATGACCACGGACCTCAAGGGTGGTTAAGACGGCCCTGCCACAGACAAACAGACATAACGCATTAAATATTTTTCATTGTAAAACCTCGCCACTAAAACCCTACCACCATCTGTTGAGCACACTGTCATGGGCAGTATGCTCAACAGATGGCGGTAGTGTGTAAACGCAGTGGCGTCGCGTAACCTCACTTTTTACCTGAGCACCAACTTTCAAAAACAGATTTAATGCCATATTCATACTTGAATTCGTTGAAAAAGACACTTAATCTTCTCGATATCTATTCATTGCTAGCAATATTTTCATGTTTTAAGGGTTGGTGCACAGGTAAATTGAGGTTAAGGCGACGCCACTGTGTAAACGTAAAATGGAATTGACTATGCACGCCACAGGCGGCGGTACTACGAACTAATAAAAATTAAAATTTACCTTTAAATGCGTGTTCGATGGAAAACATGCAGGAGTTATGACTGTCTGTCTGTGGAAGTACTGTGGAGCAGTATCGATTTGATTAAAATTTGGTATGGTTATTTTAATAATTTGTCGATCAATCTTTTTCCTGTTAACGCTCACAGTGATACAGTGAAAATTTGAACACCCCAATTTACACACATTTTTAATAGGTTTCAACTAGATGAGTTGGATAAATATTGATGAAATAATTGCTTAAATTAGTTACGGCACCGCCGAGATCCAGCTGATTCCCCATATTTAAAGTACCTGGTAAAACGCGTAAGTTTTTTGGGTACCCAATACTTTAAGTGTCAATTCGAATCCGAAACATGTGGTTCTAAGTGGTTTATAAACTAAAGCACTTAGGGAAGAGCGCTACTTCGTCGTAATCGCCCATTTCCGTTCTATCGAGCAGAAATCACCAATAATATCAATGATTTCACCATGCACAAAACAATAATACGATAATACGTTTGTTCCGATGCGTTAGTTCATTAGCTACGACATAAACCCTATTAGAGCGTATTGTATGCATATTTACGCTCATTGTTCTCAAAACTAAAGAAGCGCTCCTAGAGCATCCCCTTTTTCTTCGTTTATCCGTAGGACGAAGAAAATCTAATGGCGTTTCAATGCGTTTGGACGGAATTGAAACGCGTAGGACGAATTTAGAAGCAAGAAGCAGTGTTATATTTTTAATAATATCTCAAAATTGTTTGACTCTTTATCAAATCCAACGGTACGTATGGAAAGGTGGATAAATTTAGAAGTTATCTTTGATGAAAACATTCCATGTTTTGTTCAAACGCTTTCCAAAAAGCGTGGTAAAGTGCGGGATGTCCTTAGTAGGACGGAAATTAGATCAAAAACCCTATGGTGTCCAATTATGTTGAATGACAATAACTAATAAAAAAAAACTTTAGGAAAACCCAGAGCTTCTGACATCCAACCCCATTTGGTTCTTTTTTGACTCTGAAAATCTCGACGACGAAGACATCCTAAGTCCTAGAACTGAAATTGAACGATAAAAACGCCGTTTACACAAGCCTGAAAAGATTGAAAACTCTGCTAGTTGTCCCCGTCAATGTACTAACAAAAACAAGCTTCTTCAGGACCACTTTCTGGCGAAGTGGTTTCTGTCTTTTGTAAAAGGATACTGTCTTCTGGTGGTTTGTTCTCGGTTGAGTCCATACCGGGCAGTGCTGCGGCTACTCGTCGGAAAAGCTACAATAGAAGAAGAAGAAGAAAGCAGAAAAACACAAGACAAGGTTAACGACATATGTCTACACATACAAACATACTAGTGATGCTGGTTGGCTTTAGGCACTACACTGGGTACGATGCCCAAATTAACGAAAATGGAAACATGACAAAATGAATCAATTAGCACTCAGACGTACAGTGGTTCTGATTCTTTTTTTGCGGCATTTATTATATTGTCAAAAGTCGACATTCGTTGAACTCCCACAGCGGATCAAGATGACGACGGGGTCTAATGTCTATTGGTGGAGAAGGTTTGGAAAATTACATATGTTTTGCATTAGGTCAAAAATCGTCACACTTCATCGAACGCTTTTTCGAGCAAAACATGAATCGTGGACCTGCCAACTTTATTCTGCTTATTACTGTCCATTCAACAGACTAAACCACACATTTGTTGAAGCACACAGCAACAACGACAACCCACCTTCTATAATTCTAGAACCCAACACACCTCCCCCCTTCCTTTCACCTACCTGTTTCACGTTGTAACCAGCCTTCGCACTGGTTTCGATGAACATCACATTCAGTTCTTTCGCTTTCCGCTCGCCTTCTTCCGTCGAGACCTGGCGCTTGTCCGAGAGGTCAGTTTTGTTGCCCACCAGCATGATGATTACGTCACTGCCACGCTCCGTCCGGACGTCGTCGATCCATTTCGATGTTTGGTGAAATGAGTTGGCATCTGTGTTTGGAAAAAGGTGGATAGAGACAGAGAGAGAGCAGGGAAACAAATTACCATCGAGCAATGAGATAAGTGCATTCGTTATGGGTCTCTTGCTGTTATCGTCGTTGTAGCTGGTTTCAAATTGAAATGTATTTTCTTTAGGCATTTCCGATTGCCATCGGAGCCTCGGAGGCTTAAACTGTTTGGTGGGGTTTGGGTCCCCTGTCGATGATATGATTGGGTAATAATAGCCTGTCGGTCGTCGCCGGCGCCACCGCCGCCGCCACCGCCGTTTGAAACCGATGAATGCGTGTACGAAATCGAAAGGGGCAAAGAACGAGAAACCACAACACAACATCAACAAACACACCACCCGATCGGGCAACAGAAGGAGAAAATTGCCAATGTGGCAAAAAATAGGGAATGTGATGAAAATGTGTTTCTAAAAAGGTACTCGATTGATTTCGATTCACTTTCAATTGGTAGATTTTGCGAATGATGTTATGCTGTGAATGATGCGCAATGCAAATTTCGGGATTGCCATTGCGGTAGACTTTTTTACCCTTCTTACAGAGAAGGGTATGCAAATCGATTGGAAAACCGAGTTTCGAACCCGAGGCCCGGAATGGCCAAGTGTCACATATTATTCGGCGCAGCTCGACGAGATCGGAAAATGTATATGTGTGTGTGAGTGTGTAACACAATATTGTAACGCAACAACCACCAAATGAAACTACATGGTCCCATATTTTTGGAATCGGTCAACTGGATCCGGAGGTATGGCCGGAACATGTTCAGAAAAACATGGATTTTGGGAACTAAGCCGTGTTTCTCAGTAAAGACTGAACCGAAGTGGACGCAACAATCGCCAAATGAAAAGTATTTTGCCGGTCAACTGGTTCCCGAGATATGACCGGAACATGTTCCGGATTGAATGAGCCATGAGACTAAATCCATTCTTCTTCTTCCTCGCATTTCAAGCTTATTGCTTATTGCGTGCTCTCAACTAAGTGTTTGAGAGCTTGCATCGATGTACCATGTTTGCATTGGTATAATTGTGTGGCAAGTACAATCATACTCTATGCCCAGGGAAGTCGAGAAATTATCCAACCCGAAAAATTCCTAGACCGGACCGGGAATCGAACCCAACCATCTCCAGCATGGTCTTGCGTTGTAGCTGCGCCTTTACCGACTGAGCTAAGAAAGGACTAAAACTAACCTGAAACGAATACTCATACGAATACTCTCTTGTGACATATCACATCATATAAGAATTCAAAAACTAGTTCAATAGCAGTAATTTGAAAAGTCTAGGACCACTTTGGCCACATCCAGCCAAGTTCCGGATAACCCCGGGGATGTGGCCAGTTTCTGATTGGGCTCAAAAACCATCATGCGATACCTTAAATCATGAGAACTCAAAAACCTGTCCAATGAAAGACATTTGGAGTACAAACGATCACATCTGGGTATGTTCCGGGAAAGCCACGGATAAGTGGCAAGTTTCTGAATGAACTCAAAATCCATCATGCGATACGTTAAATCACTGAGAATTTAAAAACCAGATCAATAAAAAAACATTTGGAATACCCTCGATCATACTGGATACATCTGATTATATTATTCCGGATACCCCCGGGGAAGTGGCCAGTTTCTAAATTGGGTCAAAATCGATCACATGAAAATTAATAAACTTGTTCAATGGTAGTCATTGGGAGTGCTCAGGTCCACATCTGGACATGTTCTGGACATTCTCAGAGAAGTGACCAGATTCTATTAGTAAGAAGGATCAGATATCATCATAGGTGGATTAATTCATGTTTTTTTGATTGGTTCTCAATGGTTCAGTGCATCGAGTGGGCACTAACAATTGAACGTATTTTATGGCTTAACCTCCTTATAAAAAAATCTTCTCCATTCCCGTGTGACTTATGAGGGTTCGCAGAGTTACTTCCATTTTAATGAAGTAGTGTACGCCAGTTACAAGGACCTGTCCAGTACAGTTCTAGTTGGAGGTTGTAAATATTATTTCTATTTACGGGGTAATGATTAAACCCAAAGTGCTGTCTATGTACATCATTCGTACAATAATCTGGGACTCTTACCAGCTACTAATTTCTTCAACTTGGTTAATTCTTATGCTCTATTAAGAACTTCACGTGAAATTGAGGAGGTTAGGATAGGTTTTTTTTATTAAAGAGAAGAGAGTGAAAGTGAGAAAACATTTACCCCCTTCCCCTTCTCGTCACGTTTTTACTAAACCTATTACATAATCCTTGTCACATAATTCTAAAAACCCTTGTGACGTACTACAAGAATCATCTCAAAATCCTAATGCCATTGCGGTAGATTTTTTTCTGAAAGGATTTGCGGTGAATCGGAAATATTACAAATGAATTGATTTTGCCTATGGCAACGGTGCATGTGTGGTGGAACTTGGGCCATATGTTAAAAGGTAAATGTAGGAATTTCTAGCCAAATAAAATCACCAATTCTTTTTTTTTTTTTTTTTTTTTTTTTTTATTATAGTCACTTTAACACTCTTCGGTCATTCGTGACTTGTCCGGGGGTGAGATTTGAACTCGTGACTTTGGCGTGAGAGGTATGGATGTTAACCACTACGCCGGGGTCGCCCCAATCACCAATTCATTTATTGGAAGTTTACTGCATTTGTCAATCTAGGGCCCCTCTTAGCTTCGCCAGTAAAGGAGCAGCTAAAAATCATCGTCAACACCATGCTATAGACACCAATAGTAATAGACCTGTCGATGTGAGCAGACGTATCTAAAGGAACTGTCAAGTTTAATAGAATTTTACGATTAAATTTTTATTTATTCGATAGATTCATTATTCTTTTAACCATAAGCTGTTGTTTTTAGTTATGTAATTGGCATGATTTTTAACCGGACACCCTTTTGAACATGAGCAGTTCTTTGGTGTTTGGATGTTCCAGTTATGTTTTGACTTTTGGCATAGCAAATGCAGCTTGCCACACATTTAATAAAAACATAATTTTAATAATATTAGATGATTTTTTATTTCGGGTAGTCGGGTACCCAGCTCCTGCTGTAAAATTAATGGAAGTGTCTTAGGAATCTTTAAACTCTCCTGAAAAACTACAGCAATCTGTAATGTTCCCAAAATATGTCTATTGTTAGATCTCTAAACCGTCCTGATGTTCTCTCTAAACTCTTGACGTTCCCAAAGTTCTATGGATATCCCTGAAGGTCCTAGAACAGTTGCTCTGAAACTAATAAAACTTCACATAGGATCTCTAAACTTTTCAACGGTTTCTGCAGTTTCTTGAATTTCTCAAAACTTCTGTTATGTTTCGGAAATTCATCTCAAGTTCTCTTAACTTTCCTAATGTTCTCAGACTACCTTTATTTTTTGGAACTTCTTCTGGAGTTTAATGGAACTGCCGTAAAGTACTCGAAATTTACGTGAAGTTCTCCGAACATCCTTAAAGTTACCGCAATTTCCCTAATCATGGACCTGCACTGAGTTCTTAAAACTGCCTAAAGCTGCGTAGCTTCCCTTAAGATCCGTTTTAATTCAACTGAAGTTTTGGCATCTTCAGTTAAGTTCCTGCAATTTTCTTGAAGCTAATGGAACCGCCCTAAAGCTTATTGATATTCTTTTAAGTTTTCAAAGTTTTCTTGAAATCTAACTGAAACTGCCCTAAAGCTATCGGAACTAACCATAACAGATCTTCAAACTAACATGTTGTTCTAGATGTTCTTGAACGTCTCGGAACTACCCTGAAGTTTTCGGAACTTCCTTTTAAAAAATTATCTTTAAGTTCTGACGCTAATGGAACTCGTAACTTCGTTTTAGTTTTCTGGACTGTGTTCTTTGAACATCAGTAAAGTTCCTTTAATTTTTCTAAAGTTAATCGAACGGACCTTTAATTTTCAAAATTTTCCTGAAGCTTTCGGATTTTCCCTTCTGTGTCTGCAATTTTACGGACATTCATGGAACTGTCCTGCAATTCTTAAAACTTCCCGAAACTCTCTAAACTTTCCTAGACATCTTTGAACTTACGTGAAGTATTCTGAAGTCTGTTAAAGTTCTTGCAAAGCTCCTGAAATTATCTTGATGTTAGAAGAAATGTCGTGAAGTTCCCTGATCTTCATTTGAATTCTCGACATTTTCTTGAAATTCGTGGATCTACATTGATGTTTTTCAGCATTTACTATATCATGAACTTTCCCAATATTCTGAACATTCCTGTAGTCCTCTGCACCATCATGAAGTTTTTGAAAAATTTATGAATTTTTCGGATTTTCCTAAAGTTTTTGGAACATCACTTCAGGTTTCGAAATTGATCAGTAGAGCTCTGAACTTTCTTGATTTTTTTTTTCTGGGGAACTCCTCAGAACTTGTAAAAAAAAACCTATAGATTTCCTGAGATTAATGGAAGTGTACCACGCAAACAACACGTATAAAACCCGATCAACGAAGGTTGATACATTCACACTCTAAAACGCCTAAAATATATATAAATGCTTCGATTAAGTTTGCTGATCTAATTTCAAGGTAGCCACTGCATTTAAGAAATTAAATTCCCTTGATTTGTTTTGCGTCGAACTTGTTTTTCGTACTGAGTACCAACGCTACCGACGCCAGGGAGGCAGCTCTCACTCTTGGACCCTACCTATCGACCCATCAACTCAAGACCGGGGACCAACGACTTTACTTAAATTACAACAGAAATTTTATGCCTCAGAAAATCCCGACGGCACCGACTGGGATTGAATTCAGACCCTTTGGAGTGGTAGGTAGTCACGCATACCACTACACCACCCGCGTGGCTTGCATTTTGTGTTAAAGGTAGCAAAACGGAAAACACTTAAATTGAAACAAACCAGATTTTTTTTTTGACGTCTGAAAATTTAAATATTTCGAATGAAATCTCAGAATTTTTAAATTTGACCGAGCTACAATGAACATGTAATTTTTTACAGTTTTTCAGTTGCACATTTTTAACTTTTAGAGATTCAGGCTTCAAAAATTTT